GAAAGAAAGAAAGAAAGAAAGAAAGAAAGAAAGAAAGAAAGAAAGAAAGAAAGAAAGAAAGAAAGAAAGAAAGAAAAAGAAAAAAAGAAAAAAAAGAAGAAGAAAAAGAAAAAGAAAAAAAGAGAAAGAGAAAGAAAGAAAGAAAAGAGAGAAGGGAGAGACAAAAGAAAGAAGAGAAAGGAAGAAAGAAAGGAAAAGGGATAGACAAGAAAGAAAGAGGGAGGGAAGAAAGGAAGAGAAAGAAAGGGAGGGACGGAGGGGCAAGTGAATGAGATCTATAGTTGTTTGAATGGATGGATAGATAGATACATGGAGGGAGGGAGGAAGGAAGGGAAAGAGAGAGAAAAAAAGGAGAGGAAGGAAGGACCACAAATCCTGGCACTAGACGTGGCTTCAGAAGACGCTTTGAAACAGCACAGCAATCTAGGGCAAAGGGATCTTGGCAGGGGTGGGATTTTTTTTTTTTTTTGCCTCTGGGAGGGCAAAAACAGCTTCCCCTGGGCTCTCGGGGCCCTCTGGAAGCTGGAAACAGGCCCATTTCCAGACTTCCAGAAGGCCCACTTTTCCCCCACCCAGAGCCTTCGCGTGGACCCTGCACTTACCTCCATCAAAAATGGGCCGTGTGGAGACTCAGGAGAGGGGCCAGCTGGTCGGTTGAAATCCTGGTTCGGCAAACCAGCTGTAACTTTAACATCTGGTTCACCTGAACCAGTCCGAACCGGTAGAATCCCACCTCTGGATCTCAGAGGTCATCTCGTCCAACCTCCTGCTCCAGCAGGAAACCTTATATCGTCTGGATTATTTTGATGCCTCTTACGGAGAGGAAAATTGCCAGAAAGGAGAAGGTGTTTACTAGGACAAGGCTGCCATGTAGAGGAAGGCAGAGATAGATAGTCCTTGACTTATGACTGCAATTGAGTCCAAAAGTTTGGTTGCTAAGCAAGAGCATTGCTAAGTGAGTTTCACCACATTTTAATCAATCCATGACATCTCCTGGCTCTAACAGTAATGTGCATGCTTGGGAAGAAAATCTGAAGGTGTGTGTAATGTTCTAATGTACAGAGGTTATAATTGAATGTGTGACAGAAAGTAGACTCTTGGTGTGTTTTTCCAAATGGAATAAGTGAGGTTGAATTTGTATAGTTTTAGAAGAGCTCTATGTGTGTGTATGTGTGTGTGTGTGTGTGTACATACACACATGCAGTATATGTAGTAGATAATATATCTTTTTATGTGCCAATACGAGTCTATACTATGTAATATGTATGTATATGGCATAGGATTAAATAGTGTATTTTGGATGTTCAGTAGTAATAAATAAATAGACAGGGAAATTGTATCTCGTTGAGGCGAGGAGAGGCCAGGCAAGGCACCTCTTGATGTGAGTGATGTTAAGTTGGCCATGCCCACCTAGTCACATGACCACCAAGCCAAGCCCACCAAGCCACGTCCACAGAACCGGTTGTTAAAAAATTTGAATCCCACTGCTGTGTAAAATGTTGCCTTCACAGTAACTAGGGAAGTTTATGACCTGAACTATAAACTAAAGCTAATCAGGAATAATTATTGAATAGTTTCATTCTGTTATATTAGTTGATCAGGACACAGGATGGATTGGAAGAGTAAAAATAATAGAAGAACACAAGGCAAATCTTTTAATGTATTGTTAAGAAAATTATGCAGATATGCCCATGAAGTCATTAAGAAGCATGTTAATTTTTACTTCTTCAGTTTAACTCTAAATTCCTTGGAAAGAAAAATCAAGAAGAACATTAATTTCTCTTTCAAAGCCATTATTTCTTGGTGTGAATATAATAAAAAGTCAAGGGCATTTGGTCCAATCTGCAAAAAAATGAAAAATATGTAGAGTTTCTTTATTTTTTCTCATATGCTAAATGTGAGTTTGTGACTATTGCAGCTATAATAAGAGCAAATTATTAAAAGGAAGTATGTATTATGTCTGGATCTTTGATACTGATTCTATTTTTAAAAAACAAGTGCAGGGTAAAATTCTTAAAGGAATTTAAAATTCTTAAAAGAATATGAGATCAAGGAGCAATAGCACAATATGTTTTTTTTTTCAGGGCCCCTTATGGCAAGTCTGTAGATATGTGGTCAGTAGGCTGTATTCTGGGGGAACTTAGTGATGGGCAGCCACTGTTTCCTGGTGAAAGTGAAATTGATCAACTTTTTACAATTCAGAAGGTATTAGGACCACTTCCTGCAGAACAAATGAAGCTTTTCTACAGCAATCCCCGTTTCCATGGCCTACGGGTAATGTTTTGCTTAAATGTACCATGCATGTTTTCTAGTAGTGAATTTGCATGAAGACTTTCTGCCAAAATTTTCCCAATACTGTATTTTATTTATCAAATTTAGACATTGCCCCTCTCACTTTCTAAGTGACTGGGCAGTTTACAAATGTAAAAAAAATCATAAAATCATATAAAAATAGAGTTAAAATAGAATTAGAACTGAATGACAGATAGGCAAAAGCAAGGATAAAAGATAAGATAATAAGTAGAGGGAGTGCTTTTACGGTTAATGTGAATGTGTACTTTTGTTTCTCCAGGTATGGCAAAGAATAAATGACACATGTTAATAATGTTATGATTGGAAATGTTTTTTGTCTTGTCTCCATTTATATAAGATTTTTGTAAAATTCAGATTGGAGCATTTCCTAATTCATATTTGGAGAAATTTTGCACATTACAATGTACTAATTCATTAATTAATAGACTGAACATTCATTAGAATAAATAAATGGATAAAAATATTGCTCATATTCAATACAAGTAGTCCTCGACTTAAAACCATCCACTCAACAACCTTTCAAAGTTGCTAATTCAACTCCTGTGCCACAGCTGCCATTGAGGAATGCTGCCTCAAGCCTCAAACCATGATCAGCCATCACAGCACAAAGCCCCAAGCCCTACCTACATTCTACAGGCTCTGCCGTGCCCAACTGATCTTTGCCATCTTCTTGCCAAGGCAGGCTCAACCTGACTGTACCCTAAAGCTGTTCACTTTACTCTCCAAATTGCACTACGTTGTCCCATGTCCTCCAAATAGCACATTTGTTGTTGTGAGACTGGGAAAGGTGGCGTCACACGGAGCCAGCATCTGCCTTGTGAAGGGCCAGGTCAGATGGACTTTGGAGTACAGGGTGGGAAGTGCATCTTGGAATGCTTCCTGGGCCATTGTGGCTTTGTGCTGAGCTTTTGGAGCTTTGCAGCACACTACTGGGCTCCGCAGCTCTGGCGCTACTTGCCACATTGCAGTTTGGATTTCTTGATGTACTGCAGTTCTGGGGCTGCAAATGAACAGAGATGAAGGGAGATTGGCAGGTGGGGGAGTTGAAAGCAGTTCCTTACCTTACTGAGGGCTGGGAGGGTCCAAACCTAAGTCAAATTTACTTATCCAATAGCAAGGCAAAGTAGTGGAAGTTCAGTCACTAAATGAGTGATACAGTCATGTGTTGTCATGCTTTACAACCACATCACTTAATGACAGAAATTCAAGTTCAGCTGGGGTTGAAAATTAAGGACTACTTGTATCTCCTTCCCAACAAAGTTGCTGTTAGCTTTTTAAGAAACGGAGTCTAATCCCACATCATCAATAGCAGTTTGGGGTTGGTCTGGCAAGGAAATTATCTTTGAGCTATTATTTAATTTAACTTTAACATTTTTGTTTTTCCTGTTTTGTTAGGATATAATACTAACAAAATTTTAATGATTGGTAAATGCCAGTTTTCTGTGTGAATTATATGTAACCTGTATTACAGTTTCCTGCAGTCAACCATCCACAATCATTGGAAAGGAGATACTTGGGGATTTTAAGTGGTGTTTTACTTGACCTTATGAAGGTAGGAATGTTGATAGTTTAAATTTACAGTATGTATGTATGTATGTATACACACACACACACACACACACAGGGAGAGAGGACTATAATTTAATGTGTTAACAGTCCTGCTTAATCTTATTTTAAATAGTTTGAAAATATAATCACTTCAAACATTTGAGATGGTATGGTGAAGGCACAGAGATAGGAGATTTTTTTTCATTCTCCTCTCTCGCCCCCGCCCTGCCCCCATATTCTCTGAAATCAACACAACTGCATTTTTAACAAGGTAGAACTATTTTCAGATTTTGTATGGAATTTGTTTCCTTAATCATCTTCTTTAACGATCCCATAATCCCTTACGAAGTGGAGTCTGGGCCACTGAACGGAACTAGCAGAGTGTTTTTATGGCCGGATGCCCTTTCTGTCACCAATATGGAGTTTTGTTCAGTAGATATATTCTAGGTGCCAAAGAGAGAAATATCTTCCTCTACCTAGGATCAAACTCACAACCTCCTGATTGTGAGGTGAGAGCTCCACCTCTCGGCCACCGCACCACTCAATTTTTTTTCTTAATAGAACCTATTAAATAATTTTAATATATTGTTAATGACGTAATAAATCTGAAAAATCAGATAAAGCAGGGTCTTATAAGATTTTCATACAACCATGTAGCAAAAGAAAGTTGCTCTGTAATTTTTATGAATTATGTAAATCTGCATATAAACATACACCTTATACTATAGAAGATTACTGTGGGGTGGGGTTTTTTTATTTTATTTTTAAGAACAGATTTTAGAGTCAACCATTTTATGTAAGAGTGGGAATGATTACTAGTTTTCAGTTGCATATATTTGTAAAAATTATGCTGTAACTAGCAGCAACCACACCTGTTACTATGTTTCTTAATTCTTAATATTTGACCTAAAGAACTTGCTGAAGCTGGATCCAGCTGACCGATACTTAACAGAGCAGTGTCTGAACCATCCATCATTTCAAACTCAGAGGATGTTAGATCGTTCACCTTCACGGTCAACTAAAAGAAAGCCTTACCATGGAGATAGCAGCACTTTATCCAGCAGGTAAATGACTGGAAATAATAATGTCAACATTCCAATTATTTCAGATATAATTTGCTAAAATTAAGTAATACAGTTAGGTCACTATCAGACAAAGCACTTTTTTGGTGCCTTCCATACAGTGTCTAATAAAAAGAAGAACAACCTAGATTTGGTTTGCTTTCTGGTTGATAAGATTCTCTCTTGATATTTCAGAATATCAGATTCACTTCTACACTGAACAGAGATGGCCCTGAAGCCCATATATTTTCTGGATCAAGTACTTGGTGAAATTTATTGCTCATCGGTACAATGACTTAGTTAAAGAATTCTACCTTAGTAGTAGTGTGACATATTCTGTCAAATCCTTGAATTTTGGGAGATCCAAAATATAGCCAATTTAGAACAGTTGCCATAGTTTAGTCATCTGGGCTATTGGATAATACCATGAAGAAATATGATCACATGATCTTTATTTTCTATATCAAGACTATAAAGATGTTTTAATTAATTTGGTATTTTAATTTTTTTTAAAATGCTTTTCTTGTCTGTTCATAATATAGAAATCAATCTGGCAAAGGTACCACTGTGCAGTCTCATCACAGATCAAACAGCAAAGAATTACAGAATATGGGACTGCAAAGAGAAGATGCCCTTTCAACAAATGAAAGCTTTTTAAATGGAAATCTCCCTGTAACTTCTCACAGTCCAATGCTGTCAAAAAAGACAAACATTCCTCCTTCATCTGGAAATAAGGATCTAGCTAATAACAACATACCACATCTTCTCAGTCCAAAAGAAGTAAAGACAAAAACTGAATTTGATTTTAATTCAGAAGCCAAAACTTCAGATGGTCCTGGTACTAAATACCTGAAGTCAAATTCCAGATCGCAGCATAATCGTCATTCCTTTATGGAAGGTTCACAGAACAAAACTGGCACATTACAACTGGGTGAAAGGCATAGCCGTCACAGTTATATTGACACTATTCCACAATCTTCAAAGAGCCCCTCATATCGCACTAAATCAAAAAATCATGGAGCTCTGACTGATTCCAAATCTGTGGGTAATTTGTCTGAAGCCAGGATTCAAGTTTCAGAATCAAATAGCAGTAGGTATTTTCCATCCAGCTGTTTGGACTTAAACTCTCCTACTACACCAACACCTCCTCGTCATGCTGACAATAGAACTTTGCTCAGTCCTTCTGGAAGAAATAATAGAAGTGATGGTACCCTGGAATCACGAAGGCCATCTACAAGACATTCCAAAACAATGGAGGAGTTAAAATTGCCAGATCACATGGATGGAAGCCAGTTACATTCTGCATCTGCTCCTCATGAATCTTTTTCTTATGGTTTAGGCTACACGAGTCCTTTTTCTTCTCAGCAGCGCCCTCATAGACATTCTATGTATGTGAGCCGGGACAGAGTGAGGACAAAGGGCTCAGAGGGAGGCTTAAGTGTAGGGCAAGGGATGGCAGCCAGAGCAAACAGCCTGCAACTGTTATCTCCACAGGTGCAGCATAAAACTCTTACAAGATCTGTTGGCTCTTCACGTGAAGATTGTACAGAAGATTCCAATAGGGTTAGTTGAATTCTTGATTCTTAGGGATTTGGACCATTCATGGTTTTGTACTGTATGTTTGCCTGTTGTTAAAAATAACTTTTATTTATGCCTAAGGAATCCCTATCTTTTTCAGTTGATTTTTTTTCTCGTCAATTACTCCATCCCCAGAGTTCATTGTATATACTATTAACCTCTACCTTATTATGTAAAATAAATTGCACCTATTGATATATTTACTGTTGAAATTAAAATATGTAATGCTAAATGTTAAGTGTCACAAAGGCTACCCAGAAACAGAATAGTAGTTTCCCTTGGATATTTTCAGGGAGGGGGATTATAAGCACCCTTCAGATTTCATTAATTAAAATTAAGGAGGCACTTGCTCTCTTGCAAGCTTAGTAAAGTATTTATACTTACATTGTAGACAACTTCTGGGCAGAAAATATAACTACCTGTTGTGTCTTGCCTGCTGTTGTCTTCTTTTCCTCTTGTCTGAAGGTGAATTGGCTTAAACCCTTAACAAAGGAGAGTGTCAGTTACAGTGTATGCAAGGGAAGAGGGAAAGGGGTCAAATGTTAAAACATGTACTCTGACAGTCTGTAGAGATTCTCAGTCATCCAGGTCATGGTTGTCCCAAAGGTGCTTTTTCAGGAGGCAACTGGACTTTCTTGTATTCTCTTTGAAGATGTTTCACTTCTCACCCAAGAAGTTTCTTCAGCTCTGATAGGATAGTGGGAATGGAAGGATTTATATATGTTTATTTATTTTATTTTTTAATTTGTATTTATATAGCTGTCTGCAAGGAATATAAATCCTTCCATTCCAAGTCAAAGAAACAATGATTGATGGGCACAAATACAGAGCAGGGCTTCCATTATAATGGCACCATGCATGTTATCATTTTTCAGCAGACTGTAGTGTTTATGGATCTTTGAGTTTTAAACTAGAATAAATATAACAGAGGAGAAATATATTTTCTTTTTACTGGGAATTGATTGCTTTACTAGAAATTCCTGAGTTGTCTTTATCTGTATGTTGGAAACCATTTGTTTTATGGTTTTCCGCAATTGAAGCTGAATATTGTAATTGTATTTTTTGTAATATTGTATTGTAATACTTTACATTGTATTGTTATTGTACAATGTACAATGAATATTGTAATACTTTAATAACATAATTCTCTTTTCCAAAAGATACTATTACAATAAATGCATGGTAGTAATACATACATTAACATCTGTAATAAATTGGGAAAGGAATATTGTTAATACCATTATAATGCAGTTAAGTGGGAGACAGGAAGGAGAAAAAAATCAGAAAGCAGTATAAATACTGCTGGCCTTAGAAGTGTAGAATAATAGATCTAAAAATTTGTACTGATTGGAATAAACTCTTGCATAATATAAAGCCTGAGGTATTTGATATACAGTAGAACCTCTCTGGTCATGACCATAATTTGTTCCATAACCTTGGCGATTTCCTCGTCTTCTAATGTTTTGTCTTCAGGAGCTTCTGGGCCAGGGGTTGTGTTTGATCGCCACCTGAGTATGTGTTTGTGACCAGATTAAAAAATGTTGTGAATTTTTTGGTTCGGAATCCGATTTGGTCATGGTCAGAAGCATTCGTGACCAGAGGTTCTACTGTATTACAAAAATGTTTCCACATAAAATGTGCTTTAAATACAAGATGATGTTTGAACAACTATCACTTGAAATAATTTAGGTAAGATTTGCTGAAATCATTTATATTTTATGTGTCAAAATATATTTTTGCAGAAAAAGATCATTAGTTCCAATCAGATGCTTTTATTCTAAATACCTTACTTTCTTAATTAGATTTCAATTTTTAAAATACATGCATACTAGTCTAATTTGCAATTTTATTGGAAACTATCCAGAATCACTTATGTGAGATATGCAGCTTATATAAATCAAGTAAACTAACAAATAAGTAATTATTAAAATGAATGAGAGTCTCCCATCTTTGTAAATCTCTCCAGGTGTCCATGGCTTTTTGAATTATGTATAGTGTTTGGGATTGTATATGTTTGTCAACAAAATTCAAGCGTCAATTGAAGGGTCAGTATATTACCAAATAATAAGATTCTCCATTAGCAATCTAGAGGATTTAGTATATTTACCATCCATTGTGGTAAATTACATGCCTTTGTCATTTTTTAAAAGGTTTACATTGTTTCCTCACCCAAAGCCATTTATGAAAGGGATAATTGAGAATTAGTCATTAATCTGAATATATCAGGCACGCTACTTTTCTGATTATAACATGCAGCTTTCATTTTTAATGTGGAATTGGTTTTTATTTTAACAAACTATGATCAGATTCAAGCAAGTTTCTTTGGTTTAATAAATGCATTTATTGTTTTATTAAGGGTGGAACGTATCGTGATCAACACCCAGATGATGGAACCTCCACAAAAGAAAATAGACTCCTGTATAATGATTCTGTTCCTAGAAGAGTTGGTAGTTTTTACAGAGGTAATTTAACTTATACAGTTTAATTCTACTTTAAAACAGAGTTCTATAAAAGGCAAAACAGTTTAGGTAGCCAATGTTCAGATAGTCATATTCCTAACAAGTTGGAAGAATCTTCTATCTCTACAACACTAAGTAAGTTAAAGATGATTAGCTCCTTTTTTAGGAAGTGATTCATTTTCCTTTACCAAAAGTTATTTTGCCAGCTAGATTGGTATGAAGGAGAATTCAATTTAGGTATTCTTATAAGCAGATTTAAAATATATTATTCAGATGTTTGTAAAATTATGCTTAGCATGGTTTATGCATAAGTGTGCTTTTGACTATAGATTTTGTTTGGTTTATATACATTTATATTTTGGGAAAATTTAGAAAAAGTATCATATTAGCAGAATGTACCACTTAATAAAGTAAACAGACTTTCAAGAACAAGTCACAGAAAAATGTTAGCTCAAACTTCCTAGGTAATCTAGTTTTCACCAAAAAATAATTCTCAATAAGCAGGCCCACAGCAATTGATAAATTTGGCTGTCTACTAAAGCAGGGGTCCCCAACCGCCGGTCCGCGGAACAAGTCTTACTGGGCCGCTGGTTGCTGGGCGCCGCCATCTTTTTTTGATAAAAAAGTGCTTCCGGTGAGCTTTTCCGGGTAGAAAGCTCACCGGAAGCACTTTTTCGTCAAAAAAGATGGCGGCGCCAGCGCTTCCGGTGAGCTTTTCCGGGTAGAAAGCCATTTCTACCCGAAAAAGCTCACCGGAAGTGCTGGCGCTGCCATCTTTTTTGACGAAAAAGTGCTTCCGGTGAGGTCACCGGAAGCACTTTTTCGTCAAAAAAAGATGGCGGTGCCCAGTTGATGCCGGTACCGGGCCGCGGCGCCCAGCTGATGCCGGTACCGGGCTACGGCGTAAAAAAGGTTGGGGATCACTGTACTAAAGGACTGTGGTCCAGCAATATTCAAGCAAAATAGCAGTCTTTTTCAGCAAATTAGTAGAAATTTTGGCTTTGTTAATATGTGGAAGGGCAAGACCATTAGAGTAATTGTGTCTCAATCATAATGGCTTGAAGGATTGCATGAACTTTATAAACATTAAGAAGTCTACTGTATTAGAAGGACTGGCCAGCCTATGGCTGAGACTTAGAATAGTTAAGGTTCGATTTAATTATGTGATTTAGGTCACTATCTAAAATTTCTGAATTCCACTGACTGAATTCTTATCCTTAAGGGCATGAAATTCTGAATATAAAACTGTAGTGATTAAAGAAGGAAATGATATAATCTATAACATAAAGACTGTGGGACACTGGTATATATTATTTTTTGTTAAACCTTTCAGCCACATATGCCTCTATTATTGAATTATGGCATGATATTATAGAAAGACTGAATTTGTTTTCTAGTTTTGCATATTGACAAATGTTTAATTTTGATGGCATTAAGAATTTCCTGTGGATATGATATTTCAAATTCCAAATCTATATAATGATTGGGCGTTATTGATCTTGGGCTAAAAACTCTAATCACTAGAAGATAAATATAAAAGACGCAGTGGTTAGAATGCAGTATTGTAGGTAGACTGCACACAGCTAGCAGTTCGAGCCTGACCGTCTCAAGATTGACTCAGCCTTCCATCATTCAAAAGTTGGTAAAGTTAGAACCCAGATTGTTGGATGCAATATTTAAGCATTTAGAGAGTGCTGTAAAGCACTATGAAATGCTGAAAGCACTATGAAGTGGTATATTAGTCTAAGTGCTATTGCTATAATCATCATTTTTTTTTTCCTGCAGAAAAATCTGATACATTTGCACTGATCTTCTTGCCTTCTCATTTGTGTATTTTGAGAAATTCAGTTTTATAGGCATTTTTAATAAAAACAGCGGTGGATAGTTACAGTCATTTCCTTTGTCTGGAAGTAGTTTCACATGGCAAAACAATGATTATTAATTTTCTAGAAAACACCCTTGGGCTTTAAAGGGAGCCAAGTTAAATAGCAAGAGTTCAAATCCGAGATGAATAAGATTAAAATAAATAATTCTCCATTCTAGTTAAAGCATATTCAGCAACCGGATCATCTTCGTTGATAAGTATGCATACAATACATTATATATGGATTAAAACAAAAAGTTATCAGAACACAAATTGCTATAATCTTCCTCTAACTTAAGCCACTAAGATAACTTAATGTATTAAAAGCTCCTCTACTACACTACAGAAATCAAATTTCTTTTAGATCTTTATTCTTTTCTCAATACTGATAGAATTATGATTCATAATCCAACATTGAAATAAACAAAAACAAATTTCAATATCACATGTTGAATAAATTGTATAATCTTCTGCCAAGCATGAATATGTGCCATTGTATTGTGTTTTTAAAAAGAGATAATTGAGGATGTATAGAGTGTAATCTTACATTTCTTCTTGTAGTCCCATCTCCACGCCCAGAAGGAACATTTCTAGACAATAGTGCCTCAAACAGAATACCTGCATTGCCTGCAGAAAGCAGTAGTGTAACAAGCCATTCAAAGAGACAAACTGCTTTTGATTCCTGGTAAGTACATTTCTTTATAAAAGATAAACCACAGTTAGTTTATATAGAAGTAGAAAAGTTAATATAGAAACAAATTAACATTTTATAATTTCTTAAATGATTATGATTTAAGATGATTAATCCATCTAGTAGTCACACTGAAAATTTGGACAGAAATTACCAACAAGGTTTAATAGATTCTGGTAATTTTGATATATCACACCCACAATCCAATTTTATTTGGAAATTACAACCAAGGATGTATAGTAATTTCAATGTTTTCCTCATTTTTATTACAAATTCATTCTGTCTACCTGACTGATTCAGCTTGCTAAGAACATCCCTTTTCAAGTCAAATCTGAACAAGTTACTGAAAAGGGAGTTATTTTGTATCCAAATGTATTCATTGGCCTTCATCCCATTTGTGTCTTCATTGTTCAGGCTGATGCTTCATCTCTGTCTCTCAAGAGCCATGCTATCGTAATATCTTCTGCAATTTCCAGGTAGTCTCCTACCCTGGGCATTCTGTTTTTACAAGCTTTGCTCGTCAAATGGAATTATGACATTTTTAACAGACTTTTTTTTTTTTACTATTAAGGATACTTTCCAGGCCTAGCATTATCTTCTGGAAGTCATACACTAGATTTTCAGAATTTGTGATATCCTCAGACCTCTTATAAGCTTGCCAAATATAAAATCAGCTGGGCACAATACTTTCATTTTAATGTCATATTTCTTACATCCTAAGCACATAAGGATTAAAGTTTTCAAGATTCTGCTTTATTTTTTCTGATGCTTTCCTAAAATCTGGACAGTGCTTTCTTTCTTAGTTTGCCAGTTACATGGGGCTTAACAAAAGAATCGGGTGGGATGCTACCGGTTCTACCTGGCTCTATAGAACCAGTAGCTCTGAAGAGCAGCAGACACCAAACCGGTTCTGTGTTTGCTGCTGTTTGGCCCACCTGCCCGCCCTGGCTCTTACCTGTCCTTTATTTCCTGCTTTTTCAACCTCACCTGCTTTGTGCAGCACAGCGGAGGTTGAAAAAGCAGAGAAAAAGTGCGCAGCACTTTTCAGCTGTCCAGGTAGCACAGCTTAAGGTTTTTTTACACGCACACACAGCATGCATCAGGTGCGTGAAGCGCACGTGCGCGCGCAAAACATAGTCACCGAACTGGTAGTAACACCGGTTGAATCCCACCCGAAAAGAATATGTTCATTTCTTGGGGAAGGAGTTTTTGTAATTCAGGGATGATAACCAATTAGCTTGGCAGTTGAGAAATTTAACAATTCCTTTGACTTCTAATGGTTATGTTTCAGAGCACATATCAAAATGGGTTTAGAGTCAAATGGCCTATTCTCCAAAAATCAATTTGGTTTCAGGAAAAAAATTGTCCCGCAATCTACAACTCCTACACTGCAAAAACATATGGACTACTCTACTTGACCAGGGTAAAGCAATAGATGCAATTTACATAGACTTCTGCAAAGCCTTTGATTCAGTGGTACACAACAAGCTACTGTTAAAACTGAACTCTCTGGATCCTTTCTTAAGTGGATTACAGGCCGGGTTTAATTTTTCTTTTATAACTTTTTGCACCAGCTCTCCATTGAGTTATCGTCTTAATATTGTCTCTCCCAATTTCAAATGTATTCTGTACGTTTCTTCCTTCAAGTAAGTATATTTTGCTGTTACAACTAAATCAGACAAAGTGTGATTGCTCTAGGAGCCATAATATGTCTACAAAATTTAATTGGAAAGCCAGTTCTGCATGAAGTATTTTCAAACTCAAGCTATTAATACTAATGCAAATGTAGTTTTTCTCAAATCAGACATCATGCAGATTGTATAAAGTGATGATCAGTGCAAATGTCTTCAGTCAGAATTCACCACAGAAACCCAGAAATGTAATGTTGAGAATTCTCAGCCCCAAACAATATTCTGGCTAGTCCCCAGCTTAATGTCCATTGCTGATGGGGAGGAGATTTTTCATGCATATTCTTTTGAAATTATTACCTTTCTATAAGATTGTGCAGTATGTAATCCATTATGCTAAGTTTATTATATCTATGTATGTGGGTTTTTTTTCTCCTCATTAAGGAAAAGTCCTGAAGATACTCATTCTGAACAACTAAAGGAAAAAGAAAAACAAAGTTTTTTCAGGGCCATAAAAAAGAAAAAGAAGAAATCTCAGTCAGTAAGTAGCTCATGTTTTCTGTAAAAATTTGCTTAACTATTTTAGTCTTCCACAGGGAAGAACAAGTTGGTTATTAAGGTATCAACTACCAGATTTTGCAAATAAAAAGGATTTGAAGACTATTGCGAAATTTCTGGACAATTCTACTTGCTGAGCCCTAACATGAGGGATACATTTCTATGACCTATAAATAAAATTAAATATTAAATAAATAATGATGTCAGCTGATTTTCTTGATAAATTGCTAGATGCCAAATTAGAGTTTGCGAGGCTTTCCAAAGCAAATAGGAAGTAGGTTCTGACAACTATGTAGTGCCAAATGTTTTTTGGGGGGAGGGTATGGGGCTGATCACTGTGTCAAACCCTTCGTGGTTATAGAGGAAGTATTTCCCACTTTTCCCCCATTTCACCTCTCTATGCAGCCTACCGACTGCTGTCATTTGTTAATAGCAATTTTACCATTTACTGCAGTCCAGAGAAGAAATCTGCTGCTCTTTAAGTTGGAGAAGATTCTTGTTTAATAGCTATCTCTGTAGGCCTACTGGTTCTCAGCTCCATCAGGAAAAAGTTGTATTTCCAAGAAAAGCTGATTATTGAAGTGTTGTGGTTCCGGGCTTGGATTCTGCTTCTGTGGAAGATCGGAGTTCAAGTGAGGAGGACATGGCAGAACTATATGAGCCGGCATTGCTCAGTAAAGGGAATAGTAACCAGGATGAGGAGATGGATGTGACAAAGGATGACAGACCTGACGTATTGGAATTGTCAGGACCTTTGACCTCCTCTGGTTCCTTATCTGATCATCAGCCGGGAATGGCTGACAGGGAAGTTTTGAGGGAGTCTTCCAGTGGAGATGAGAACTTGGAAGACTTATGGTTAAACGTCAGGAACAGACGACGTATGAGGAGGCAAATCCAGCTGGAACGAAGGAGGAGGGCGAGCCAGTAATTAAGGAAATTAGCTCGTTACCTCAATGACTATAAAAGGACACAGCTGGGCTAGTACAATTTGCCAGGAACAAAGTGACTTATTGAGTGAGGGCGTTACAGCAAGAAGCTCTGAGGCTTGAGATTATTTACCAGGACTGGTTTGCCGGACAGAGTAAAGATTTATTGCTGTGGACCGTGGATTAAAAGCAGCCGTTATTTTGTGAAACTTCATTCTGTTTGAATTCCTTTTGAAACGGCTGCTTTCTGTTTTGTTCGCTTTAATTTGAAGGGGAGTCATAACATTGAAGCACAGGATAGGAATTGTTTGTTTGTTTGTTTGATCGATTGATTATGTGACGTCGAGTCATTTTTTTATTTCTAGTGATGACAAATAGATTTTCTGTATGATGAGATAGGGAAGACCAAGCTAATGCCTTTATCTTGTAGGCAAATCTCCCCCAATTTGTCTCATAATTTGAGATTCCTGATATAAAGGAGTTAAGGTAGCCTGTGAAATATTTGATTGTTCACTTCACTTCACTTCCCTTTATTGATTAACCCTTGGGCCATATCAAAGTGCAGAGTTCCAGACCCAAATTATTACTAAAATCTGATAAAAACAATTTAAAATTTGTGTAAGCCGCCTTGAGTCGCCATGGGTGAATAGGCGGCAATATAAATTCAATAAATAATAAATAAAATGGAATTGGATAAAACGTAATTTAAAATGAAATTTGAAATGGTGGTGGCCAGAGCCTTAGGCTTACCTTTGTGCAGCAACGGTGATTCTCCGATGCCTTATCTCTTTCTGGGTGTCGCTGCCCGACAGTCAAGGTTTTTAAAAAGGGTTTTGCAGCAGGAAACGGGGGGGGGGGGGGCTGCTTCCAGCCTTTGTTGGTGCAGCTGGGCACACAAACCCGCCCAAGACACTGGCCTGCAGCCGCCACCTTTTTTCAGCACGAGAATCCTGCAGCCACAAGTCTTTTTCAATGCTAGAAGCCTGCAGCTGCCGGTCTTTTTCAGCACCAGAAGCCTACAGCCACTATTTGTTGCCGGCGTGAGAAGCCTGCAGCCACTGGTGTTTATCATTGCGAGAAGCCTACAGCCGCCGCTCTTTGCTGGTGCGAAGGGCCTGCAGCAGCTGCCTCTTTGATGGTCAGAACCAAGCTGGCAATGGTGGTTGGAGGATTCTCACACCAACAAAGAGGTGGCAGCTGCAGGAATCTTGCACCGACAAAGACTGACGGCTGGAGAATTCTCGCACCAGCAAAGAGATGGTAGCTGCAGGATTCTCGTGCCAGAAAAGACCGTGGATCAACTTTGTCTAAAACCTGCTTGTCGTTCTGCAAGGATATGGTTTTCCTATACCCAGTTTTCAATTCTATTCAAAAGGAATCCAGCATATATTTTTCTACAATGTCAATCAGACTGATAGGCCTATAATTACTAGGATTCTTTTTATTCCCTTTTTTATATATGGGGACAACTATTGCCATCTTCCACCCATTTGGTATATGGCAGTTGTTATATGTGTAAAAAGACCTGCCAATACTGGACCCCACCAATCGGGAAATTTCTTAAATAATTCTGCTGGTAAAAAATCCTCACCTGGGGCTTTATTGCTCTTTAAGTTTTTAATGATGTATTGTATCTCCTTTCCCGAGACTGGTGGCCAAGGGGGAGGAGTTCTAGGGTTTACTAAATCACTGCTTAAAGACTGCTTTATATATGAGTGGTACAACCCCTCTAAGCAAGTCTCATGGCTGCCTTCAATTTCTTTTTCAACAACCAGCATTCAAAATCAAAACAGCAAAATCTACCCCACTTGAAAACTTTTGGTAGGGGGTTTAGTTATTAGATGTTTCTTCAGCATATTGCAGAGATTAAAGAATGCTTTGGAGATTGATAGCTAGTCGGTTGTAGATGACTGGATTGTTCTAGCCCACTTAACAGCATTATCTGTTTTAAGACTGTCTAATATTGCATTTGTAACAACTTTATCCCAAATTAACTTTTTATTTTGGGTCACTTCTAAGTTTTTAGTGAACCATCTGTCAGTGTTATATGATCTTAAATCTGAACGACCTTGTAATGTCACACTCACAGGCTGATGATCACTTTCATCATCTAAATGTACAGTAACCTCTGAAAAGAGGTCATCTTTTGATATACAAGAGATCTAGCATGCTATCTGAGTGGGCTAAGTGGTATGTGTAAGGGTATACATAATTATTATCTTTACCTTCCAAGATTTGAAGATTACCTTTAAATATTAAAGAGACTAGAAGAAATAGTTTCACATTAGAGACTTTAATTCTTCAATCTTTTAGTTTGCTTCCAAGAGCTGTTCAAATATAGCAATAACCGTTTGTGCTGTCAGGAGGCAATTCTTGGCAACCAAATCCAAGTCTCCTTTAAAATTGTTATTATTATCCTTGTTCTCCCCTCTATCTCTTAATGGAGCCTCAGTTTCCAGTGAAAAATGGTCATCCTCCTCCCACTCCAGCAAGGAACAGGGTTTATTTAATGAGGTTATGAGGAGTGGAAGAGCAAAAAAAGACTACTTATTTGCAAAATCCATTATTTAAAATAAGTCCTTTATCTTTGGTTGTCTGTGTTTGGGGTTCCCTCCCAACTGTAATCCCAATTTATGTCTTCTTTAAAGTTTTCTTTCCAATACTCTTTTTGGTTTGCTGCTGCCCTTTGTTTCTGCATCCTTGGGTGGTTTTAAAAAAAGGAAAAAAAATTAAAACATGCTCTCACAGCATTGACAAGTGCTGATAAATTCTGGAACTCGTAATTTAAAACCTAAATCCTATATAATCCTAAATCTAAAAACCTAAAATTACTGCTACTAATTAAAAAAACTAACTTAACTAATTTATAGATATTATTAAATAAAAATAAACTATTTTGCAACCATATAAAAGTAGCTGTTACCAGAGGATAAGGAAAATAAGGAGCTCATTAAAAAGGCTATCACACGGCAGCCCGATTGTTCATTTAAAACAAAGTTCAATTTCAGTTACTTACAGAGCTTGATATAGCAGAAGAGTCTGGTAGCACTTTTTAAGATTAAGAAATATTATTATAAGATGTTAGTTTCTGTGAGCTATAGCTCACTTCATCAGAAACATGGGTTGGGTTAACTGATGTAGAGTTCAAATCAGGGGTGGGATTCTACCGGTTTGGATCGGTTCTATAAACCGGTTGTTATGATTCTGTACAGTTCAGAGAACCGGCAAATCGTTCCCCTGGTGGCCCTGCCCCTCTCTGCCCGCCCCTCCCTCCCCACCCAATCAGTCCTTATTGCGCATGCACGACATCGCACGCATGCCGGATATCACTGACTGCATTCTCCCCACCCAGTCACTGCTTAAGATTTTTTTAACTCCTGATGATCAGCTGTTCTGACTATCAGCTGTGCCGGAATCCTCCTCGCTGTCTTACTGCTTCACCCAGGAAGCTTCCCTGAGGCCAATGAGGCAAAAATGGGGGCATGGGGGGGGGTCATGCGCCCCCCCCCCCCGAGCCCCATTTTTTGCCTTCCTGGGCCTCAGGGAAGCCTCCTGGGAACAAAAACACCCCCCAGGAGGCTTCCCTGAAGCCCAGGAGGCCAAAAAAATGGAGTGGGAGGTGCTGCAAAAGAAGAAGCCACGCGCACCCAGTCACATGGCCACACCCATATAGCCACGCCCACAGAACCGGTAGTAAAAATATTTGCATCCCACCCCGGTTCAAATACATTGGTATAACATGGGAAATTAAAGGGAGAGGAAATTATCTTTATTGTCATAAAGAATTTAAGAATCAAAAATGTCATGCTGTAGCCATGAATAAAATTCTGAAAAGTTTAGGAATTTTGAATAAATTTTATAATAAGTACTATGCCCTCGAAACAAGGAGCCTTTCTCCTTGAAAAGTGGTTTGCTGCAATTATTATCTGTCCTTTTAGGATAACAGTGCTTTCAAAGAAGCATATAAGCTATTTCAACAGTGGTTAAAAAAAAGAGCAACTATTATTTAAAAATGAAAACTTCATGTTTACTTCATGTTAATATCCCTTCCTCTTTTCTCCATCCATGTAGGGGATAGGAAAGAATTGTGATTGTGAGATGGGTGTCTCTATAAATTGATATAAGTAAATAATAAGTAAATAATAATGAAGTACTGTACTAAGCAGGAGAACCATTTTTATCTATTATTTTAAATGTATTGATTTACAGTGAAGACTTGAAAATTAGAGATGAATTGCATCAGATTTTTTTGTCAGTGGACAAATCATTTAAGGATTCTTTAGTCCTGTTCCTATATAGTTACTGCATACATTTTTCTGAAAGTTTTAAATGTGTTTATTCCTAAGTAAGACCCCTGTATTTAATAATCTTTTATTTTCTAATTAGTCTTTTGAAAAATATAGCTTTCAGTTTGCATTTCCATTGAGAGATAATGGTTTTATGAACCTACATAATTTTTTAAAAAATTGCATGTACATGTGGTTTTTTGTATCAGTGTCTCTCCAGGTTTGCTGCATTTCAACCTTTAACAAAAATTATATTGTTGAAGTAATATTGTTGAAGTAAAATGATACATATACATTTAATTACCTATTGTTTATGAAAATTGGGAATATTTTGATAATAGCCATAGTTATAGTTCATATATAAAACTTAAACCACACAAAGTAATGTATTCTAAACTTACTAAATATATACATTTCATAGGCACATTCTTAAAGCATATTGCATGGGCAATTAAGCTTAAATTATTTCTTCCACAGGCTTTTTCTTACTCAGCAGCGCAATTTAGTCTTATCTTGACATAATTATAAAAAGTTAGATTAAACATCTGTGATCATTGAAGCTTTCGTATATAATTCAATAAATAAGAGACATGGATAACTCTTCTGAATTAGAATTATTTGTGCAATTCGTTTTTGTATCTTATATTGCAGACAGAATCTACCAAGATGGAGAATCCAAGCATCAAGAAATCTCTCTTTCCTCTTTTTATTTCAAAGAATCATTTAAAGCATAGCTCTTTGAAAAAGAATCCTGTAGTCACTCTACCTATGGTATTAACTTTTAAAAAATGGTAGCACTGAAAAAACTTGCTACAGTACATCTCTTTTACTTACCACTATAGCATGTGTGCTTGTGTGTGTGTGTGTGTGTGTGTGTGTGTGTGTCTCATATATATATATATATAGTGTGTGTGTGTGTGTGTATGTATGTATGTATGTATACACACACACACACACACACACACACAGATATAAATTTTCTAAGGGAGTCATAATCTCCACGCAAATTAAATATCTTGAGCCAATTCCACAAATTCGCGGAACCTAGAAGTTTTTTCCTCCAAATTTCAAGGAAATGCAACATTACAAACAATATCATCATCAGGGTTAGAAATAAACATCTAATAAAACATAAAAGACAACTTTTATAATCAGTGTGAATGTAGTGTGCAATTATTTTTTCAATTGGAATATTTTTATTTATAAGCCTTACTGCTTTGCTTTACCTAAATAAAAAGAGCACACAATGTATTAGCCATAGTTTAATTTCATAGGATATAGAACATTTTAGAAAGCTTTTATTTTCTATAAATTCAATTATCCAATTGTATGTTGGCAAAATAAAAGTTAATCCCCCTACATTTAATGGATTAACAATTTTTAATCCTAAATTTTATTTGCTGAGAAAGGAGTCTTAGCCAGAAACTGCCTACCTCCCTGTTAGATGACTAAACAGTTCAGAAGATATATTCAGCCAAAGTTTTTCTCTGAAGCTGGCAAGTTGCACTATTTAGCAGTTTCTATGATTAGTAAAATATCTTTTAAAGCTAAATCTTATTTATTTGATAAGGGAAAATACTCTTCCTTATAAATTGCAAAATTAATTGATGACTGTTTATATTTCTTCCATAGCAAAAAAAAACATAGTTTTTGTGGAAATGGCTCATGATCTTAAAAGCAATATGGAATGTCATGAAAATGAGAGTGAAACAGAGCTCTGCATTTAACTGCTCCTTCTCTCTTTTGAAGTTTTTAACTAACAGCATGTGAATGCCTTAAGGGTGGAGGTTATAAAAATATGCATGGCATCTACAAATATATTATTAATATAGAGTTCTTAAAAGGGCATAGCAATAATGGGGTCACTTGCATTGCTTTGATCTGAGAAGCAGGGAGAAGTGGGAGATGAAACTTAACTTAGAATTTTTGTTCCCAGGAATTAATGAATTGATATTGTTCCATGTTACAGATGCCTGGAAGCAAAAATCAGGATCTTTTGGCAATACAGAAAGCTATTCACTCGTCTAATCATCCAGCCAGCAGGCAGAAGGACTGGCATTCTGAAAAGATGACAGAAATCCAAGGACATGTAAGTTTAAATATTGCCTCATTTCATTTTAAGTCATTTGGCAAATGAATAGTTGTCCCAAGTTACTACACAGAGTAGCTTTGAAATTTATTCGTGGGATCTCCAACTGAAATTATCACAAGTGCTGATTGACTATTAGTTCATTAACCCAGAGCTACATTGGAATTTTTTAATACATATATTTTAAAGTTTCTACCAACAGTGCCTGTCACAGAGTCTTGGTGCTTTTATCAGATTGACAAAAGAAGCAATTTCAGTGTTGCACCTTTAACAATACTGTGAAGTATGTTTTATCCAAGTAATGTAACCATCTACTCATTAATATACATCAGTGGAGCAGATAGACCCTGCCTTACGTTCAGGATGAAGTTCATACATAAGAATTGTCCCTCATTTTTTCTTGAGTAACAATGAAGTATTGTTCCAACCATATGCTCATATTATTTATTTACTTAAAGTATTTCAGTCAGGGTAGCTTGCAAGACAAAACAAATGTAACAATAAAGAGTATTAATAAAAATCAATGAAGACAGGCATTCTGCTGCAGGACATTTTAAGTCTTTGAGCTATGTACTGGATGCACATCTCTGGGTAATTTATTCTAAAAATACAGAACCAGTTGAAAAGACGAATTGTTAGTGATATGCAGTAATTTGACTGTTTACAGTAGTGAATAAATGAGTTGGTTGGAGATAATGTTCAGACAAGTTGTGTGGCTGAAGGTAAGCTTTCAGGTTATTTAATGTCAATCCATTTAAAGCTGAAAAGTTAAAATCAACTTTTTAACTTTTAGCAAAATGTGATGACAGTCAGTATACCAACTATAATTTGATCGAACATGGGTAAGAGCTGCTACTAAGGCCTATCTTGTGGCGATTCGTGCGGTGAAGTGTAAATACTTCTCCACACTAATTGCGTCTGCAGATAATCGCCCAGCAACCCTCTTTAACGTGAGCTGCCTTCTCCTGGGGGAAAGAGGAGATTGAGGTCCACCTGAGGGGGCATGCTGAGAAATCTGTGGATTTTCTGGAAGACAAAATTGCTCGACTTTGTTCTCAGTTAGATGCCAGCATAGTTGCTGGCCCGGTGGAAACTCCTGAGGCAGGTTCTTGCCCTGTTATCTGGGAACGGTTTGATCCTGTTGCTCCCAAGAAGTGGGCAGGATCCTAGGGAGTATGCAAACAAACACCTGTGTTTTAGACCCATGTTCCTCCTGGCTTCCTCCAGGAGGTGACAGGCGGGTGGACTCTGACGGTGATTAATGCTTCCCTACAGGAGGGATGGTACCCCAGCACTTTAAGGAGGCTGTGATTCGCCCTCTTCTTAAGAAACCATCACTGGACTCCACCCAGTTAGTTAATTTCCAATCTGTCTCCTTTTTGGGGAAGGTGGTTGCGCAGAGGTTTCTCGATGATATGGATTATCGCAACCTCCTACCAGTCAGGATTCAGGCCTGGATTTGGAACATAAACGGCATGGATGATCTCTGGCAGGAGCGGGATGGGGGTAGTGCTACTTGACCTCTTGGCGGCTTTCAATACCATTGACCATGGGATTCTCCTAGGGTGGCTTCAGGGGATGGGAGTGGGGGGCCTTGTGCTGTCCTGGTTCACTTCCTCCCTATGCGGCCACTCTCAGTCAGTGTTGATAGGAGGGGAGAGATCTAGCCCTCGCCCACTGCTTTGCAGGGTTCCACAGGGCTTACTCTCTCCGCTCCTGTTCAACATTTATATGAAGCCACTGGGTGAGATCATCCGTCACCATGGACTGAGGTATCACCAATATACTGATGATACTCAGCTGTATGTCTTGGCACGTGGTGAATTAATTGTTGCTGTGTCCTCCCTCTCACAGTGCCTGGAGGCTGTTAGTGTCTAGATGGGGAGCAACAGGTTGAAACTAAACCCTTGCAAGGCCAAGTGGCTCTGGGTTTGGGGTCCGTTGGCTGAGGGAGAATTGCCACCTTTGGTTTTGGATGGGGTGGCACTACCTCAAACAGACCCTGAATGAGTCTAGGGGTTTCCCTGGACTCATGACTCCTGCTCAAAGAGCAGGTGGTGGTCATGGCCAAGAGGGCCTTTGCGCAACTGCAGGTTGTTCACCAAGTTATTCCCTTTCCTGGACCAACAGTCCCTACTCACAGTCACTCATGCCCTAGTCACTTTTTGTCTTGACTATTGCAACACACTCTACATGGCGCTCCCCTTGAAGAACATCCATAAGCTCCAGTTGGTGCAATATGCCAAATTGGTTGCCAATTTTCTTCCAGGTGCAATTGAAGGTGCTTGTTGTCACCTTTAAAACCCTTCATGGCTTGGGACCAGATTCTCTAAGGGACTGTCTCTTGATGGTCACATCTACCCTACCCATCAGAGCAGGGAGGCAGGGAATGTTGTCGGTCCCATCCCCAAGGGAGATACACCTGGTGGGATCCAGAAGAAGGGCCTTCTCCGTGGTGGCTCCAGAGATTACAATAGCCCCCACTCTTAATACTCTTCTCTCTCTTTCTCTCCCTCCCTCTCTCTCTTTCTCTATCTCTGAGAAAGGCAGGGGGTACAGAGCTGGCCCACCCACCCTGTCCTGGCTTATCTGAGGGCCCTTTAGCCAGGCCACCATGCCAAACCCTCAAACCCCCCACCCCATCCAGGGAAGCCACATCCCTTCACTAACCTGATTTCCAGCTCCTTTCTTTGCCAGCATGCACAGCAGCTAGTCTGTGGGTCTACAGCAAAAACAAATAGTTCAGACCTTCCAACTTCCATGAAAAAAGAAAGATCTCATGAGGCTGGACTGTTTTTTTTAACCATAGAGCAACAGATTACTTTAGTTGCTCTGCACGCAGTAATGGAGAACTGGGCCTGTGAATGTGCACATCTGTCAGTGACAGGGGCAGGACCCTTACAGTTTTCAGGATGGCCATGCAGGCTTGATTTGGCCTTATCACGGGCCACATTCGGCCCAAAGGCCTTGAGTTTGACACCCCTGATGTATTCCCTCAGTTCAGCCATCTCCCTTGAGGTCATGGAATACATCTTTGGTTTGGGTAGGTTAGCTTCTGGCACAAATTCCATGGCACAATCTGTGGGGCGATGAGGTAGGAGGGCATTGCATTCTTCCTCATTAAAGACTTCTGCCAGGTCACAATACTCCTTGGGGATTTGGGGGATTCCTAGGGGCGCCTCCATTATGGCAGCTTGGCTTTTACTTCCACTGCAGGGTCGAGTGGGGAGAGGGGGCCTAATGCCAGCTTTAATTTTCGTCTTCCCAAGAGATGGTCGGACCCCATTTGTCTAGCCAGCCCAGCCCCAGGATGATCGCCTCAGTCATTTTTGATGCCATCACGAACTGGATGAATTCCTAGTGGCGACACATCTCTAATCGCACTGGTTCAGTGATTGGCAATTAGTGACTTGTCAACTTGCTCAAAGCATATGGGACTGGCTAGCGGTGTCATTTGGATGCCTAGCTTCTGTCAGAGGGGGAGTCTGATCGGGCAGCGGGTGCAGCCTGTGTCAGTGATGGTCTCTATTTCCCCTTGGGCTCCTGTTCTGGGCACCACTATCCTTGATTTGATGACAAACAGATGGATGGCTCTACTTACTATCAGGTCATCCTCGCTCTCGTTGCTGCTGCCTCCAGTTGTCAGCGGTGGTGCCTTCGGTAGGAAGGGGGACCTCGACAGCTTGGTGAGCAGCTTCGGAGCTACTCCCTGAATAGACTGGTCCCTCTGGGTAGGGAACGTAAAAGTCAGCTGGCTGAGAACTGCCATCACCTGTCCGGACTGTTGCTGCCACCCCACACCACCAAGTCTTAGCTGGCCAAGTTTTTCTGGCAACTCTTCCATATCTCCACTCCCCAGACCCGCTGAGGTCCAAAGATCCCATCAACCTCCACCCAAGGGTTGTGGCCCCCTTCTTCCTTGTTGAGGCAGCATGGTGTTCTCCCGATGGCTCCTGGAGCACCCCCCCAGCCACCAATGTCTTCCTGTGCCCTGGGTAGCCGGCCACTTGGCATGGAATTTGGACTGGGTGCCCAACAGGCACTCCACGTCCACCACCAGGGCTGCTGCCCACTGGAGCGAGGGAAGAAATTACAGGCTCTAGGTAGCTCCTCCGCCGTCTCCTCAGTCTTCCCCATCTTCCCTGAGTCTGCCTGCTGCCTGGTAGACCAGGTAAGCGGCTGGGGCTCAGGATCCTGGATAGTGGCTCCAGATGGAGCAAAAGTTTCCTTTTGAATTTTAGGAGAGTCGGTTTAATGTCAGGGTTCCAAGTAATAAATCCATGGCAAGCAAGACTCTGAGGCAATTGAATTCCTCAAAGATTACTTTTACTGGAAATATCATATTGGCACATATCTGGTGAAAACCGACTCTGGAAACTCCTGCAGTGTTCACCTTATTAAAAGTAAAAGATTTTCTACTTTCCTTAAAACAATCACTGTGCAGTCCGACAACTGGGTGGCATCACTCCGACTTCTTCCAACCAGGTGTAAGAATGTCCTTGGTTCCCAAGAGAAAGTGTTTTGGTTTGGCTACAAAAATCCCTCTATCTTAAATTCCCCCTCCCTGACCCTCAGCTCCAGTGTGGCAACACTGAAGTGGACAAAATGTCTTCAGTCAAGACAGCTTCAGGGTTGACACACTGACATAAACTAACTGCTGTACAGACAGACCATCTTAAATTTCCAAACCAACTCAACTTTAACATTATTTAGTAACTTTTAAATAGCACTGAGTATATCAGCCAATGCAAGATTGTGCAACTTTCATCAATTCAAGGGGCCTATCAGGCTTTACATGACAGGCAAGAGATTACCTCCCAAAATAGATAGAACACAGAATTTGTGATAAAAGGGCGTTTTAGAAGTTGCAAATGATGACTGGGAGAATTGAAGCTCTTTTTGTCTTTTAATAATTTTCTAAATCAGAAAGCAAATGTATATCCCCTCCCTGGGCTGTATTTATTATACAAGGCACTGTGGGACTCATGTCACCCAGAAGCTACCTTTTTTTTTACAATTTTGCCTGTACTTCTAGAAATCAGTCTTCTCCATTACTATTTGTAGTTTCTTTACTTCTCCTAGCTTGCAGTGAATTCCAAAAACTCCAATTGTCCATGACCACTTAAAGATTGCAACCCAAATTATTGAATAATTGACAGTTTAGTGCGTAATGTCAATATCCAAAGTACTTTAGTGCTTAACAAAAATAAGGAAAGTAAGAAGGAGGGCAGGAGGAAAATAAATAATGAGACACCATTATTTCCTACTTTCTGTCTTTCAGAGTCAACCTCTAAAATCCTTACGCAAGCTGTTGCATCTTTCTTCCTCCTCAAACCATTCAATTCCTTCTGAATCCCGATTCCAGCCTTTACCAAATCAGCCAGCTAAAACCTCTTTTTCTGAAGTCCGAATTCATCCTATGAGTCAAGCTTCCACTACCAGCAGCAACAATCTACGACAAGAATCTCAATCAAAAGGCAGAGCAGCCCTCCAGATCCCAAGCCAGGTGGAACCAAGCTGGCACGTGTCCCCAGGGAACAGAAGCACCAGTGAGACATCATCATACTCAGATCAGATAGCTTCGAAAAGTGGGCAAAATGGGCATACGTATAACCGAACAAACCGATCTCGAATGCCAAATCTGAATGATTTAAAGGAGACAGCTTTGTAATTGTATCAAAGAAAGTGATATTGCAGGGATTGACTGAGGGATATAGGGATGCCTGTGATTGGAGTAATGATTGTATTTGCAGCTTTACAAAAGAGTGTGCAATATGGAGTATGTGTAGCTACTACTACCACACCACTAGGGATTGTATAGTGAAATGAACTTTATAAATTGCCATTCACACGTTACAATAGCAAAAGAATGTGCAATTCAGGGAGAACAACTATTTGCCCTTTTCTCTCAGCTTACATTCCAGCTTAATATGCACATTTGTCTGAAAGCTATTTCGGCACTTTGGGGAATTAAAAAAAAATTAGATGTATGCCCTTTTAAAAAATATTGCTGCCTAAATTAAAAAAACTAGGGTTTATGTGATATATTTGTATTCTTAGTATGGTTTAAAGTCTTAGTTTATTTGTTTTTAAAACTTCCATATTTGATAAGATTTGTAATATTATTTATTATCTAATACCTTATTATTATATCACATTTTATGTTATAACGTTATTTGGAGCTATATGAAACATTGTGATGAAGTGAAAACAGCTATAGTAGTTTCTACAAAAATTAACATTTATTACATCAGGAATATTTTATTATAAATATATATGTGTGTGTGCGCGCGCGTATGTGTATGTGACTATATATATATTTATATAATAATTGTTTTTTTTTAAAGATATTCATTTAAAGTATTGTTATGACACTATCTGCCATATTTTTATACACTTGTGATATTAAGTGCAGTATTATACTTAACAATAAAAGGGAACTAAATATGTATTGAAGTGTAACAATATGATTTTTACTCCCATCTAGATGCAGTGATATGGGCTATATCCATTGTTGATCTTCTGCTGATGAGAGGTTCATGATCTAATAAAAGGAATCAAGTGTGCTATATTGCTTCTCCTTGTGGCTCTCATCCCCATCCTTCCTCCCTTTTCTGCTAATAAAAGCTTTTAAGAACTCAAAGAACCTTCTGTCAGTTGAACAACAACACTGAATACATCCCATTATAATGCCACAAGTTAAACAATGGTTTTAAGATTTGCTGTAGACTTTTAGATTGGGTAATAGATTAAAGCTTCAAACCATAAAAACATAAAATCATATGAACAATAGTGTTGCTTCCCGTAAATGTATATTTAGCTTTCCCGTTCGTATCAATGTGAAATAAGCATTTGAATAATGGAGGTAGACATCTAGTGTGCTTGCAATCTTCCACCCAGGAAATCCAACCCGTAGCAAGAAAGTAAAGCAGATGCTTGCTCTTCCATTTAATACATGGGGTGAAGACCAAAGAGCCACAGCAAGAGATGCCAGTGGCAAACCAAAGTTTGCATGACACAGCACTGTAAATCATGGTGTAAGGTTTTTAATTTAACATTGTCTCTGCACTTTGTTTGGAATAGTACTAAACAGAAAGTAAGATACAATACAGAAGTGAAAGAGAGACATTCGAACTTCCATTTTGTTTCTAAGGTTTTATAAAAAGATGATATTTAAGGGAAAAAATCATTTCTAATGAAATTTAATCCCCCATATCACTTGTAAGAATAGTTCTGTGAACAAGTTTCACTCACCCAGTGTGTATGATGTTTTCTAATTTCTTATCAAAACTTAGGAATTTTTAAAATGGACTTCTAAATCTAGCTAATATTTATTTGCTTATAAAAAATACTCAGGAAATTATTCAGTATGGAGTTGGTCAGTGAAAAAAGAATGAAGACAATAGTGTCAGAACAATACATTTTAACTCTCAAATGTATACAATATATTATTGAATCAACTCCATAAAAATTGATCTGGACAGTATATAGTTGGTGATACTTATTAATAATAGATAACACAGATGAATGAAAAGATGTAATCTGGTAAATTTATGTATATTTTTTTTTTAAAAAATGGTTATATTTCAAAGTTTTGAACACAGTATTTGCTCCATTAGATAATACAAAATTTTCAGTGGTGATTGTTGGTGTCTAGTTTGCTGTATAGAAAATAGGCATTATAATAATATATAAAATTCATGGCTAATATCTGTGGAAAACACAGTGCAGACTACAACAGGGTGACTCAGGCAGTCAGTTATATTTGTTTAATTCATAGGGTGTCTTTTGTAATTTAATACACAGTCACCTCCTGTGTATGTTCCCAATATTTCTGGCTGCATAGCTGCATTTTCCAGAAAAAGAATTCCAGACTCAAATAGTGCTGTTTGAATGTGGCAAATAGTTTTTATTTGGCTCGTATGTAATTTACAGAGTAATACTTCTTACTTTGCTAGTAATTTGCACAATTTATAAGTCTACTTATCGCTCTTTTAATTCATAGATGTCTAACAGAAAACATTTAGTAGTAAATTAGATATACTGGACAATTGCTATTTGTACTACTAGATGTTTCAGGTAAGGATACCCTTCTTAAGCTTAAACTTGAGAATATGGTGAATTTTATTTTTGGGGTGTTCCATAAAGAAAATTATTTCTTTTAGTAATGTGTACATTCAGTTGTGTTAATACAAAGAACATTTCAAAGGTCTTGCACTATATTTAATTTATGTATCCAAGCTTTGTAATATATGTTACATTTGTAAATATGCAAAGATGTCCCCGTCCCCCCCCAAAAAAATCCCCTCCTTATTGGTTAATGGAGATTTCTTAACATTATAAGAAAAGAAAAACCTATTATGCATTCAGCTATGATTAAGTGTGAGCTTTTTTCTTCACTGAGATTACATAAGTACATTGCTGTTCTCTGTACTTTTATAAGAATAGTGCAGCTAGTTTAGATGATTTGTGTTCTGATAGTATTGAAGGAGCAAAAGAATCTATTATAGTTGTGTATAACTGCACACTCTTCCCTGGAAGGTTTGTTGTATATTCTCTTTTTCCTAGAAAAAGAAAACAAAAAATGTTTGCACGTGATTTATTCAAAGCAGATTTTTAAAAATGTCAAAAAGCTTTACTTAATAATTTTGCGAGAGTCCCCTTTTGCCAATGAAATGTATGGAAGCATGGCTGAACAGATTTTTGAAAGTAGAATTCTACTTTCTGGGTCTTGGGTACACTATTGAGAAATTTTGCATAATATTTCATTTATTTTCTAGTATAAACAATATTTTTCAAAATATTATTTTCCATCCCTTAATCTCATTTTCATTACATTTTAAATAATTAATAAGTTGGTAAAGGAATTACAATGGAATCGGCACTTTTGCCATTCCCTGAAAAACATTTAGTAGCTTTAACCTGGGCTGAGTTTAACAACTCAGTCCAGAAGAGTTGATGGTTTCTAGTGCTTAACATATTTTATATTTAATTTTATATATCACAAGGCTTCCCATTTCTCTGTTTCTAAATTCTCAAATATACTGAGCTCAGCTTTCCCTCTATTTCAATAGAAATTTTGGAAAACTAAGGTAAGTTGCATCCTTACAGAGAAAAATGTATTTAATATGTCATGTAATTTTAAAAATAAAACTCCTTTTTATTTCACATTCGTTCTCTTTTCTATTTCCCATTTTTCTCTATCATATCATCCAAAGAAATAGTATTTCATAACCCACACTGGTAACTTTCCCATTGCCTTAAATACATTCAGCTTTTATTTTTATGCTGCATATTTCAATTACAATTGACACTTCAATGGAATTTTGTTTCAAAAATACCTTAAAATCAGGAGGAATAGATGTAAAAAAAATCCCTTATTTATAAAACAATATAAATTTGCAAAAGGAATTGTCAGAAAAAGTATTTATTTGAAAGTATTTATGTGGAAATCATTTAGCATATATGATATAAGTGGTTCTGTGAGAAAAAAATGTCACTGACTTCTGCCTAAACATTCTTGATTAAGAATGTGACGACAAGGGTTGTTTTTTTTTTAACTTGTTTTTTTTTGGTGTATGTTGTAAATAATGTTATATATGGTATTAAGAAACTCTTTTCATGCAGTAAATTTCCTCAGAAGTGTTCTGAAGTTCTTTGTGCCAAATTTATATATTATATTTCATCGAGGAAGCCTTCATTGAGAAAGACTTAGAAAAATGGGATATAGTAATTTTCAAAACATTTTATTTCCCTTATTTGCAGTGTTTAAAAGATAAATTAAACTCTGATATTATTCTCTATTCTAGAAGAAAGTGTCTCTATTTAAAAAACATCTTCCATAAAAAAATCTTCCATAAAAAACATAAAGCTGGCTTGTACATGAGAATTTGTAGCAAATTGCAACAAAAGCCATTCTTTTATCCTCTTGATAACTGATATTCAATAATTTTTAATAAAAAAGGGTTGTCTCTAAGACAAATGAACTTGATAATGACTCTTTATTTCCTACTATATTTTCTTAATTTTACTGTTATGACCCTTATAATAAAAGAGCTTATCCTGCCATTCATATAAACTTTTAAAATATTGCATTACAGAGTTTCTAAAACTTCATGACGTAATTTATATTAGAGAATTAAAGGCTGGGGAGAGGAAGTCTGATGCTTATTCAAAGTAGTTAACTACTTTGGGATCCTGTTTTGTTTCTTTTTAAATCAATAGAAAAATGTTGAAACTGTTCACCTCAAAATAGTCTTATGAACGATAAAAACTCCCATATGATACCCATTAAATTACCATTTTACTACTACTTCTGATAAATGTAAATCAAGTTTATACAGCCAGACATTTTTGTTAGATGATTGTTGCCAAATGTATAACTGAATGGTTTTAAATATCTGCTTTGACCAGGATGCTGTTAGCAAAACAACTTCCTTTTCTGATCAGTATGTCCATTCCTAGACATTAGCAATTTGAGACTTACTTCATTCTTTTTGTAATCTAAGAGTCCAGTAAAACTAGGTGCTTGCTACCGATACTGAATAGTGCTTCCAGTTCACTTTAAACCAGCTCAGCATATTTTCACATTGCTTAGATACTCCTTTATTTTACATTTATTTCAGTTGTTACGTTACTTGTTTTTTCTTCTTGGAAAATACAAAACTTTGAATCAATAGCTTTTAGCTCTGAGCAGACTTTCTTGTTTTAAGTCTCCAACTTTCCTTAAAAATAAATCTAATAAATAGTTTTGTGTAAAAATTATTTGCAAAATGTAATGCACTGATGGGCAATATTCATCTTTTTCTGAAAATGCAGAAAACATAACAATTTGTGAAAATACAATGTCCTGGTCAATCAAAGGTAATTCTAAAAGCAGAGAAAGGATTATTTCAGTTTTCTACAATTAAACGTGTTCTAAATGTGTTAGACCGGCACTAGGCCACAGCATGCCAGAAACTGGACCACACAAATAAGTGAAGCCCCATCTACAGGATGCAGGCAGCATACACCTCCAGTCCACGGAAAAACCTCTCTGCGGAACTGGCCCCTAGTGCCCAAAAGGTTGGGGACCGCTGTGCTAGACTATAGTTGATAGAATTCGCAACCAGCATACCCATTCTGACTGGAAATAGTGGGGAAGCATTCTATTATAACTATACAACACCAGGTTGAAAAAGAGTGCATTACATTAATGTGTTTTAGCAGAGAAGGCTTTCTAATATTTAATTGCATTTGATACTGGTTCTCAGGTGATTGGAAGTCTCTCACTTTTGCTACCTCTGTTTTAGACAAATTATTGTGATAGTAGCAAATAATTCACTTAATGCAATTTGATGACTTAGTTTAAAATACTTTAGGAAATACAAAAATGCCAAGTAATTATCTGCAAGAAAAAAGAGCTTTGGCTCACTATTAATGTATCTGGAAATATAGAACTGCTTAAATTTTCATGTCAAAATACTTGGTAAGATGTATTGAATAAAATTGGGAGAATAATTCTTTTTGAACACCTTTATGGCTTTATGATACCATCTACTTATGAAAGTAGCTTTTCAGTTTTATGTGGTTAAAATTACATATTTATTATTTCTTTTTTAGAGAATCTCAGATGCACTAACTGAAAATCTGTCCTGCTTTCTTTTAGTAGAAATACTATGTAAATCATTGCATTAAAACTAACTGCAGATATGTTGAATATTTGGAAAAAAATTCATACTATGTTAATAAGCCAGCTGCAAATCTTTATGGAACACACCATATCATATTGTAGTTGCATCATAATGGATTGTTTTCAGGCATGCATTCCATTTTTAATTCCTGTATAATTTTTATTATTTTTGTAATAATAAAGGGATAAATTATTCTGTGTTTAACTTTCACTTATCAGCATGGGGATTTTTCATTTTTACTGAGCACAATGTATTTTTGAATGGGCCTGCCAAAATATGCCTTTAATAAAAATGCAGGTTTGCACTAGAAAAGTGAGATTGTCATCCCTACCGTCCTTTTTGCATTCCATGCATCTGTTTTCTTTCATTTCTGATCATTTGATCCCTTCTTTTCTGATTTTAGGCATTTTAATGTAAGTGATTACAATGTATAAATGAACATCCTAAAAATAGCCTGAAATGACTTGTGTTCAGATAATAGGAGTTACTTTTTGTCCAGTGTAAATAAAATAGGACATACTTGGGGAATGTAAGCAGCATGCTCTCGTCATTTTTACATCTTCATATGTGTTAAATTTGAGAGCCAGTATTATGGAGCCAAAGACCGAAGAGGTAAGATTGAAATTCATTTTCAGTCATGGAAGCCAATAGGGTGATTTGGGGCCATTTATGTTCTGTCAGCTGGTGAGCAAAGATCACTAGAAAAATTCTTGATCTTTTTTTCTGTATTTCATCTTTACTACGTCATCTTTACAATTGAATATTTATTGATTTATCAAAGTCTTATATTGCCAAGAACACTGCACAGATGGATTGTGACATATAGAAAATCATGTACTTTTGCTAGTTGTTGGGTTTGGTTTTTGTTTTGCGGTCCAAGTTTTTTATTTATTTATATATATAAACATTTTGAATACACTGTATTGTCTGGGCATATCATTTTACAAAAGAAATGAGGGTGGGGAAACAAAGAGTAGCATATATGCTAATAACAATGGTAGTGGTACAACAGAATGATTTTGACCAAACATACTTATGTTAGCTTATTTATAATCCTCTTGATTAGATTGGCATAGTTATAAACCATGTTTATGTTTAATTTATACGTAGCAATAATCTTTCTTCATCTAATTTCTACCTCTTAGCTCTAACAGCTCATAAAATCTATTCCACGCTAAGTAATCTTCTGAATCTCCTTTATATTTTATTGTCAATGTCGATCTATTAATCTCTGCACAGTCCAATATTTTCTGAATTTATATCTTCATCTGATGGAGTGTTCTCATTTTTCCAATAATTTGCAAATATTTTTCTTGCTGCTGTCAATACATGTAAAATTAAGTATATACTCCCTTTATCATAGCTTTCTGGTATTATACCTAACAAAAATATTTCTGGTTTCAAATTTATATGCTACTTAATCATCTTTTCCAGCCATGTATGTAGGGGTGGGCTGCTACTGGTTCACACTGGTTCAGGCAAACCAGATGTTAATTTTACATCTGGTTTGCTGAACCGGTAGTTACAATGACTGGCTGGCCCCGGCCACCCCACCCCTCCCAGGAGTCTCCACACAGCCCATTTTGAATTCCATGGCCTCCGGAGAACCTCCGGAGAGCCTCCTGAGCCTGGGGAGGCCATTTTCGTCCTCCTGGAGGATTGAGGAAAGCCTCCAGAACCCAGGAAGGATGAAAAATGGGCCTCCCAGAAGGCTGGAAATGGGCCTGTTTCTGGCCTCCATAGAGCCACCGGAGCCAGGGGAGGGGGTTTTCACCCTCCCGGAGGCTCGAAGAAAGCTTCCGGAGCCTGGAGAGGGTGGAACCATCCCTCCCACCGTGGTGCAGGAGGCCGACTAGGCCATGGCCATACCCACACAGCAACTGGGCAGAGAACTGGTTGTTAGCCCACCCCTGCACATATGTATTTTCGTTCAATATTTTCTTGCTTTCATACATGTCCATCACATATGATAATAAGTACCTGGAGTCTGATTACACTTCCAATATATGATGGACATGTTATTAAATATTTTTGCTAGTCTTGCCAGTGGCAAGTGCCACCTACAAAACATTTCATAGAGATTTTCCTTATATGCAGTAGCCATTGTCAATTTGTAGTTCCTATCCCAAAGTTTTTGCCATTTGTCTAATTCTATAGTATAACCAAAGTTTTTGCCCATACTATCATTGTTTCTTTAACTTGTTTTTCTTCCATTTTAAAGCTTAATAAATAATTATATATATTTTAATCAGTTTTTCATCTGTCCCTAATAACATCTTGTCAAGTGCTGTTGGTTCTTTATAAAAACCCCATGTTTTCACATTTTTCTTGTGTCTCGATTGTATTTGCAGGTGTGGCCACCAAGCTAAGTCCACCCCTTGGTTTTGTAATTCCTGTCTAGTTTTAAATTTACCATTCTCATTTAAAATATCTTTATAAAATACATTTTTTCCAAGTTAATAAGATTTGGATATATCAATGCTTCCATTGTAGAAAGCCAGACTGGTATTTTCCTATAATTTTGTAGTTTGATTTTTTTCCCCATACCAAACGTAAAGCATCCCTCATATAGTATCTTTGAAAATATCTACATTCAGTACTACTTCTATACCATAGAAAGGTATTCCATCCTAATTGAAGATCGTATCCTTCCAATAATAATAATAATCTTCTATGTCTCAAATTTATCCATTCTTTTACCCATGTAAGTACAGATGCCTGATTATATACCTCCCAATCTGCTAGCCCAAAACCCCCATTGCTTTTAGATTCCTGTAACATTTTCCAATTTTATTCTTGCTTTTTTCCCTTGCCAGATATCCTTCAAGATTATTTTATTTAATTATTCAAAATATTTTTCCCTAGTTTTATTGGTATTGTTTGAAATAAAAAAAGTAACTTCGGTAATATATTCATTTTTATATATTGTACTTTTGCTCGTTGACTTTGGTTTCATCTTGCTTATGGCAAGTCTAGACTTGATTATGAATTTTAGTTGAAAAGTAAAAATAATCTTACTCATGCATGACTAACGCATGTTGTATAATGCACAGAGAATATGGACTGATTCCTTCTGTTCCTTCTCTTATGTCACAACCTCCATATACTGAGTGGGATGTTTGAACTCTATAGTGAAAGCATTTTTTCCATACATTTCATTCCCTATGTCAGGGAAAACATCAGTTCTGACCCAGGCTTAGCAGAACCAAGAAACAGACTCCTTGTGCCAAAAAACCCTTCTTTATTTAGTTATTGTGAATTCATAGCATTCACACACAGAAAAATCCCGACAACAATCCTTCCGAGGGTTAAGTGCAAGAACAGAGTTTATCCGTCCTTGGATAATTGGCAGGCTTCCTGTAAATTAATTCCCGGCAAGGAATCTCTGAGGTACGAACCACGATAAGCAAATCTTCCCCGAGAAATATAACCTATTGTCCTCTACAACCAACACTCCCCTTTTGCTTTTATTTATTCCCCAGGGAGGGGCCATTCAGCATCTACATGTGCCTTACTTTCTGAGTCAGCCCCTGTTGCTTAGTTGTTCTCCTCTGACAGCTCTACAGATGCACATCTGGAACAGGCTCCAGCTATTCTTCCCCACTTATCTCCAACTCCGAAGGCAGCTGGGAAATGTTGGACGGTCCTGGCCCTATCTCCTTCTGATGCAGAGCATCCATCTGAGCCTTCCCCAGACTCCAGGACTGGCCCAAGTTCTTCCCCAACCTCCTCATTGTCCAAGTCTGCTGGCAGCTCTGCTGGCAGCTGGCGGGCCACAATAGGGCAGTACTCTATTGTTTACACAGAAATGGAAATTAAGGCTACATTTGTCCTAAAGAATTAAGTGATGTTGGTTTACAGTACAAACGCCTGCATTTGATATCATCCATTCAAGATACTTGAAGATATTTGTTCGTTAAATGTATTTGCTGACTATCTCACGGTAAGGCTACAGGGTGGCTTACAATAAAAAAGAAGAAAAATGAAAGACGTGTAAACAGAACAGAAGTAAAATAATAGAACAATAAAATAATGACAAAGGAACACAATGAGAATAAATGCATCAATATGATAATGGATGGATGGTGAGCTGAGAGTAAGGGGATGTAGTTTGCCATCTAGCAGCCACCTCCAGCATGAAACTCCCCCATTTGGTCCCCTATTTGATATGAATATTGCTTCCGAATTTTGTCTATTCGTATGACTTAGGTCTTGCCATTTTGTGAAATGCTCTACTGAACTTAACAGAATCATTCTAACCTTTCCAGGTCAGGGAATTG